GAAGCTGCTCTTACAGAAAAACAACAGAAATAATGCCATTAGACACTTAATTAAACTAAACACAAACATCACATTTTTCTAAGTAAATCAGTTAAAAATATCCCCCAAATAAGTACAAAATATTGCAAATAAATCTTTAAAACACTATTTGCTCACTCAATAAATACCTGCATTACACAACAGGTGCCAAGCACCATGGGATTAGGAGGTAAGCAAAACAGCCTTGCAAATCCAATATGGGATGGGAAAGATAAAGTACATATAATCACAAAATGGTATCACAAATTAGAATTGCTGACCTCATTTAGACTGGTGAGCCCAAACTCTGATAAACTAACATTTAAATAAATTAACATTTAAATAAACTTTAATCACTATACTGTACACCTGAAATTAATATTGTACTATATGCTAACTGGAATTTAAATAAAAACTTTAAAAAATATAAATAAACAAACTTTAAGGCTGAAAAACCCAGCCAAGGAAAAGTCAAGGCAGCCTGGAGTAGTGGTTAGATGTGGGCTCCAAAGTTAGTCACTGGATTTGAACCTAGGCTCCACTATTTAATGGGTATCTGAATTTGATCATGTTATTACCCTAAGTCTGTTTCTTCTTTTTCTTTTTTTTTTTTATAAGATTTATTTGTTTATTTGAGAGAGAGAGAGCAGGGGGCAGGGACAGAGAGAGAGGAATCTCCCAAGCAGACTCCACACTAAGCACAGAGCCCAATGCAGGGCTCGATCTCATGACCCTGAGATCACTACCTGAGCTGAAACCAAGAGTCAGTCACTTAACTGAGTGAGTGAGCCACCCAGGTGCCTCTGTTTCTTCATTAAAAAAAAGGGTTAATAATGCTTTCATCATAAAGTTGTGAAACTTAAAAAAAAATCATGTATTACACCTTGATAAGTCTAGAATAAGTACTAGCTATTCTGTTACTGTCATTAGCAGCATCTGCAAAGGCCCAGAAAGGGAAAGAGCTAGTGAGTGATAGCTAGGGGAAAAGAAGACATACAAATGGCTAAAATGCAGTGAATAATAGAGGAGAGGTAAGTAAGGAGCAAGACATGAAGACTCCATTAACTGTGCTATGTAATTCAGAAGTCTGTAGCCACACATGGTTAGTCGAAATTGAGATGTGTTGTAAGTATAAAATACACTCCAGATTTTGAAGACTTAGTATTTTAAAAGAAGGAAATATATCTCAACTTTTTACGTCTATTTACATGTTGAAATAACATTTAGGACATCCTGGGTTCAATAAAACATATTATTAAAATTACAATACCCAAAAGGTAGAACAATGCAGTGTCCATCATCCGATGAATGGATAACAAAATGTGGCAAATACATACAATAGAATATTACTCAGTCTTAAAAAGGAAGGAAATTCTGACATCTGCTACAACATGGATGAAACATGAGGACATTGTATTAAGTGAAATCAGTCATAAAAGGACAAATACTTATGATTCCACTTTTATGAGATTCGTAGATTAGTCAAATTCAGAGAGAGGAAGTAGAATGCTTGTTGCCAGGGGCTGGTGGGAGGGAAATGGGGTTACTGTTTAATAGGTACAGTACCTCAGTTTTGCAAGATGAAAAGAATTCTAGAGATGGACGGTGGTAACGGTTGCACAACAATGCAAATATATTTAATGCCACTGAATTGTACACTTAAGAATGGTTAAGATCGTAAATTTTATGTGTATTTTACAATTAAAAATTTTCACTTTTAAGTGAATATGAAAAAACTTAAATTCCGTATGCCTTGCATTAAATTTCTATTATATAGCACTGTATTTAAGCCATGATAAAATTTTCCAGTGAGAAGGGTTTTGAGCACCCATGTGACAAGATCTAGAACAGTTAAGCTCTAATGCCCTAAGGCAGAAGTTAGCAAACTTTCTGTAAAGGGCTGAAGAATAAGTATTTTCAGTTCTGTGGGCCATATGGTTATTCTGAAAGCAGTCATAGATAATAATGTAAGTGAATGGACATGGTGGATTTGGCCCACTATCATTGGCTGACCCCTGCGTTAAGGCACTGTAATCAATGACTCCTACCAGCTGAGACTGCTCAATTTTCAGGAATTTTGTGAACCAGTTTAATATTGGTAGCTTAATATCTGCCATGGTTAAGTGTACACCATGAAAATCAGCAAACACTACAAAACAGTGCCGTTTTTCCTGAAGAAGTGGTTGACAAACATTTACCAACACACCACCGACTATATTTACTTCTTTCCAATGCATTTAATTAGTTGTCAGGGCACTTGGGTGGCTCAGTCAGTTAAGCATCCCACTCTTGATTACGGCTCAGGTCCTGATCTCAGGGTCCGGAGATCCACCCCTGCAACAGGCTCTGCGCTTAGCGTGGAGTCTGCTTGAGATTGTCTCCCCTTTCCTCTCCCCCACTTCTGTCCCCTCTCCCCACTCACGTGCATGTTCCTTCTCTCAAATAAATAAAATCTTAAAAAAATAAAAAATAAAATTATAGTAGTTGTGAACCATCTTTGAGAAAAATGGATAGTCATTCAACAGTCATTCTGTGTTCTGTGGTTCAGATGAAGATGACCAGCTAAGAACGGCTGTTCTAGAAGAATTATGTTCCAGCAACCAGAAACAAGTGAACATCTGAAGCACTCAAGAGCTGTGGAGAATGATAACCTAAGGGGAGAGCAATTTAAGACAAGCTGTGAGAAGGGCAGGAAGCCATGAGATAATGTATATACTGCACCCAATGAAGGTTTAATAAGTGGCAGTTATTATTAAATACATATTATTGTGCGTAATGGTTTAGATTCACCTGTAAACAAGTATTTACTGAACCCATACTGTGTGCTATGCTTTGGTAACACAATGGTGAACAAAGATCGTCTTTAGCAGAAGAAATAAGCATTAATCAAATAACCACATAAACACTGAATTTAAATTGTGATGAATTATGACCAAAAAACAGAGTGCTGTGAGAAAATACAACAGGGAATCCCAATCTAGTCTAGACAATCAGGGATACTTTTCTGAGAAAGTGACCTTTACACTGATTTAAGGTATGGGTGGAAACAGGCAGAGTAGGAGGCATTCCAGGTAGCACGAACAAATTGCAAAGAAGTCCTGAGGCAGGAAAAAAAAATGTAACAACAGGTCAAGGAACTAAAAAGTCAATATGGCAAGAGTAAGTGACCAAGGAGGAAAGAACACATCAGAATGGAGAGGTAAGCAGAAGCTGTAAGCACGTATGTAAGTCGAAGATCTGTGGGGAGCTATTAGTTTTAAGTAGAGGATAACATGATCTGATTAACATTTTTCAGAGATTGCTGTAGGAATGAATGTTGGGGAGGGGGAGTGAGGTGGGGAGACTCACCAGCAAGCTCCTATGGTTTTCAGGCAAGAGACAATGGCAACTTAATGGAATCAATCCTCAATCCTAGAAGTACCTACTTAATCTATTAAATACTCGAGCAATTTTTGGTCTTAGGACACCACTCTTATAAATTTGAAGCCTGAGTTTTTGTTTATAAACATATTTATATCTACTGATGTTTGCTATATTAAAAATTAAAACTGAGGCATCTTTAAAAAAATTCATTTAAAAATAAACTCATACATGTTAATATAAATAACATTCTTATGAAAAGTAACTATATTTCCCCAGTGTGAAGAGTAGCACTGTTTTAAATTTTTGCAAATCACTTTAGTCTAATAGAAGACAGCTGGATTTTCACATCTGTTGCGATATCCCACATCTTACAGCGTCCAAGAAAGTGTGCTATTGATTTTTGAAAGAATTAGAGTGAAAAACACAACAGAATTATTGTGAAAATAGTTTTGATCTCACGGTCCTCCTAGAAGGGGTTTGGGGACCAACCCCCGACCACACTAAGTCATGTAATCACAATGAGATGCACTTCACAGTAACTAGGATGGCAATAATCAAAGACAGACAATAACAAATGTTCCAGGGAATGCAGAGTAATTGGAATCCTCCTGCACTGCTAGTGGGAATATAAAATGGTGGTCACTTTGGAAAATAGTTTGGCAGTTCCTCAAAAAGTGAAACACAGAGCTACCACATGACCCAACATTTCCACTCACAGGTACACACTCAAATGAAATACAAAAGCATATGTCCACACAAAAATTTTTGAGTTATTCACAGAGACATTATTCAGACTGGTCAAAAAGAAACAACCCAAATGATCAATAGCTGATGAATGGAGAAATAAAATGAGAAATACATCCATTCAATTGGATATTATTCAGCAATAAAAAGAACTGATCCATACTACAACAACACAGATGAACCTTTAAAACATTACACTAAGTGAAAGAACCCAGTCACAGGTTTTCAAAATCTTTACACTTTCAGCACATTTCAAATCAATCCAACTGGGGCGCCTGGGTGGCTCAGTTGTTAGGCGTCTGCCTTTGGCTCGGGTCATGATCCCAGGGTCCTGGGATCGAGACCCACCCACATCGGGCTCCCTGCTTAGCGGGGAGTCTGCTTCTCCCTCTCCCACTCCCCCTGCTTGTCTTCCCGTCTCTCTCTGTCAAATAAATAAAATCTTTAAAAAAAAAAATCAATCCAACCACATTTTAAGTATTTAATAGTTGATGTGGCTGGTAGTACCAAAGTGGACAGTGCTTTTCTAGATCTATCATAAAGTATAATGTTAAATGGTGTTTGTGTTAACGATCCTGACACACAGCAATTTCCCTCAGCAAGAAAAGGCTCAAATCTATGCAATACAGTATTTATGTTATGTCTAAGTATATTAATACTTCTCTAAAAGTTTCAAGCAATGAAAATGTTTTCTGAAATTAGAATATATGTTGCCTGAATATTTCAGGTAACTGTAATCCAAATCTTACACTATAACCTAGAGAGCTATAAAATCCCAGAACAAGCTAATTAGATGTTACCTGGAAGCTCCCTTCCATTCTCTGCACTAATTTTAATGAATGACTTGACACACTACACCCCCACCGCCACCCCACTTTGGACTTCATCTCCCTTCTTGACACTTGGAAGTCCTCAAACTGTTTCCCATAGTACGATAATGAATAATTAATAGGAAAAAAAAGTCTCCTACACAGGGACCCTGTGCCAATACACACAACTTATTTATTTTTTTAATCTACTTACTTATATTACGAAAACCCCTATTTACAAAACCACCTCGAAACACACATGGTTAAGTTTATATTCTAACTACCCTTAACTAGAAATTTAAACATTACTCAATTGACTGCTCAATGAAAAGTAAATTTCACTTTAACTTCAAAAAAAGTGTTATTATTATCAACCCCAAACAAGTAATGCTAATACCAACTGGATTAAGGTATCCTGTTTGTGCCTATTAGTTATATACACTCAAACAGAACCTGAGAATAAAATAAGAAAATTAGTTACCACCTTACAACATATTTTAGAACTGACCCAGAAAGTTTAATATAATTTATTCATATAAATACTATTTCAGTATGTAAGAGAATTTACATTATACAGAAACACTTACTGAAAGAGATTCTAAACTGTAGAATATGGAACTTGCCTGATAGAAAGCCTAAGCCTTCAATATTTTCTTTTTCTAAGTCTTTTGCCTACCATACCCTCTTTATCTCTAAAATTAGATAAAAATTTTCAGGACCAAATATTTTCCAATTTTTTACTGAGCATTTTTACAGAACATGGAATCTTAATGTCATTAAATATATTTTAATGACAAATTTTACTCGGTAACAAATAGTTTAAGTCTATCAAACCCTTTAAGAAAAATTTACGTTACAAAATGACATACTTTCTTGTGCTTCAAGTAGAATTTACAAATCATCTGAAAACTGCTTTTCTTATACTCACACATTTTTCCTGTATGTGTTTCCCTTAAGAGACCCCACAGATAGTTAACTTGTCTTCAGGTTCTTGGTGCAGTGTTACATGTTTTTTTAATCATGTTTTCTGCTTCAAGAGAAAGCATTTTTCAGAATAAAAATTCAACTGCCATCAGAATAAGCTGCTTTGAAAAAGCTTTAATTTAACCAATTTACTTTGGTTCAGAAGAGTGAGATTAAAACTTCCACAGACTTTAAAATTCTAATGTCACCATCACAAAAAGTAAAAACAAACAAACCCTCACAGACAGAACACCATAAAATGACTTACGTGAATTTTTCTATTTATAAAATATTGACTCTTTCTTCCTAATCTTTTACAATAAAGTGCTGAAAAGCAGGTAGGAAAGTAGAGACCTGAACTAGGAATCCTAGAAAGAAGACCCAAGGGCTTCAAAAGCTAATATGGCTACACATACACTAGAAGAGCTAAAATGAAAAAGACTGACACTATCAAATGCTAGCAGGGATATGGAGCCACAGGAACTCCCAAGCACCTTTGATGGAACTGTAGGACGTTAGAACTCTTCAAAAACATAGTTTCTTATAAAACTAAGCCTATAGCTATCCTATCACCCAGTCATTCCACTTCCAAGTATTTAACAGGAGAAACACATCTGTCCAACAAAAAAAATTTGTACAAGAGGGTTCATAGCAACCAACTGCAAGACCAGGTGGCCCTCAACAGGAGAGTGCATTAATTATGGCATAGTCATACAGTGGAAAACACAGCAATAAGAAGAAATTACTGGTATACACAAGAAAGAATCTCAAAAACATTACGCTGAGTAAAAAAACCTTACCGAAGAGAGTACATACTATATAACCCCACTTATGTGAAGTTCTAGAACAGGCAAAACTAATGGTGAAAAAAAATCAAATCAATGGTGGATGGAGGGGAGTGGGACTGAACGAACTAGGAAAGGCCAAGAGAGAACTTTCTAGTCAACTATAAAGTTCTACATCTTGATAATGCTTTTGGATCATACAGGTGCATGTATTTGTGAAAAACATTTAATGGTATTTGCAACTTACTCTGAAATGCCTCCAAAAAACAAAAGGAACCAATACGTGATTAGTTGTGTGATAGAGCAAATACAGCAAAATGTCAATTGTAGATCATGCATATGTGAATATTCACTGTACCATTCTTTCAACTTTCCTGTATGTTGGAAAACATAAAAATGTTAAAGGAAATTTTTATATAATTGAGGACATCCCCCCCCCCACCACCAAAAGGTGATTCAGTAAGTGGTAAAAGTTTCTCACTTGATGGTACACTCTATTTAATGCTTCACAAAACACACCACCTTTCAGAACTATATAAACCAATACTCCATTTACTGTTCCTGAGGAAACTCACATGTACATCTCAGGAACTGTTTCCTCATAGACTTCACATTATTTTAGATCGTCAGAGATCAATTCAACAATTATGAAAAATATCCTGGGATGTACATTCAACAATAAGCTAAAGCAAATTTGCTGAATTCTTCAAGATTTTTAATTTAACAGCCAAGTTTGTATACCTGAACAGATTTTAAGTAGTAAGTTACTTGGTAATATTCTTCATTAACTCCAATTTTGTTCTCTTTTATTCGATTGCAACTGCTAATATCTGCAAAACGTGGCTACCATCCCTCTAAAATCAAACAAAAACCTTCCCAATGACTGGCACCTAAGGAAGGGATGAGCGATAAATATACTGAAAAGAAAACAGCAAGTCATCAAAGTCATCCACCTTTCTCCTTAAGCCTAGTATTATTAACATGTGGCTGAAAACAATTTCTACGTCATGGTTAATTTTTTCTTGAAGACTGGAAAGCAGGACAAAATTCAGCAATCAAAACGCAAAACTAAATGTACACGTGCTCCTCGCCCCGAAATCTACCTTAATCCGCAGGCAGGTAAAACAATGAGCACCCCCCCCCCTTTTTTTTAATTCATGAGACAAAACCGCAGAGGAGGCTAAAGCGAACCCTCGCCCCAGCCCAGCCTCCACCCGCCCGGAGCGCGGCGGTGGTCCCTTTCCTTTGTGAGGAGCCGGAGGGAGGCGGCGAGGGGCGGGGAGCTGGGGGAGGAGGCTGGTGGTCGGCAGACGCGGGAGCAGGAGGAGGGCGCGGAGGGAAGCGGCGTCCGCGCGTCCCACAAACAGGCCGCGGGGCCCCGCCACAAGCCTCTGCGGTGTCCCAAGGAGCACACCCAGGAACTTGGGTATGATCTAATTCGAAAAGAGACCCGCGAGAAGTGCCCAGGGCACCTCGGGGGACGATCCCCTCCCAGACCCTTCCAAAACCGTCTCCTCCTACCGCGGGCGGAGGTCCTGCCGCCACCCCCACCGCGGGCCCCAGGCCAGGGCGGCCCTCACCTGCTGGACGGAGCTATTCTCGGGCACAGCGAACTCCTCCTTCTCCTTCGGGGTCTTCACGGTGACTTTCATGATCTTGGGCTCCGCAGAGGCAGCGGCCGCGGGGGCGCCGGCACCTTCGGCCGCGGCGGCGCTGTCCTGGGAGCTCGGAGGGCCGCCGCTTTCACCACTCTCGGCCATGGCGGCGGCGGCGGTGACTCAGGCGCGCAGGAGGGAGCGGGCGAGTGAGGGGGAGCCAGCAGACGGCAGAGCCGGCCGGCCCGGGCAGCGGAGAATGCGGGGCACGCCGCCTCAGTGACAACGGGTGCAAGGCCGCCCTGGCAAGCGAGGGGCCGCGGAGCTCGGTGTGGGCTCCGGCGCAGGTCCGCGTCGGGCGTTCGGCAGCCGCCGTGTGTTCAGACGCCGCTCGGTCGCAGCGACATCCGCAGCCGCCGCCGCTCTTCCTCCTCCCTGCCCCTCCCCCCACGTCCCTGGGCCAGCGCCGCGCAGGGCACGCCGGGTAACTCGGCTGGCGGCGTCGCCGAGTCATGCCTGGCGGGCCCCGCTGCCACCTCCGGCTGCCTTTCCTTCCCTCTCCCGCTCCATTCCTCAGAGGGTAGGCGCAGCCAGAGTGGAGGACTAAAAGCAAAACGGGGTGGGAGAAATCAGTTCATTTCACTTCATCCCCCAGCCAAAAAATAAATTAGGGGGTTCTGGGAGGCGCTCCGTAACGGCGCGATGTGATGACCTCACGGCTAGCGAAATTACTAGAAAGGGGGCTCGACCACTGGGCGCTGCAGCCGCGATTGCGCCTGCGCGCTGGTGGTTCGGGTCGCGTCCCCCGCCCCCTGCAGACCCCGCGTTGGCGATGCGCAGCCCCTCCGTGCCCTCACGCCCGCCTCGCCTGGCCGCTGCGCGCACCCAGGACCCCAACGGGAGGGCAGTGAAAATGCTGGCGAGATGTGCTATCGTTTTAACGTCCTTCCATTTGCCTACTTGTAGGATTTTAAGCTTGATCTTACTGCCCGGTGCGCGGGAGTTGGAAGCTAAGTTAATGGAGGAACGATCTTCATCATAACGAAAGGAAAATGGGCCGCAGCCACCCTGCGCAATCCCGCGGAGTCATTGCTCCATGGCCACGGCGTCCCGCCCTCGGGCCAGCCCAGTTTGGTCTGGCGATCAGGCCACCTCTGTTGACCGTGGCCTCTCTTTCCGCTCTGACAGCCCTGCGCGGGCGCCCTGAATTCTCTGAACACTGGCCCTCAAGATATGTGGGGCAGAAGCAGGGTGCCCAAGGACAGCCCACCCTTCTGGGGTAGTTTAATGTAGCTGAGGTGTTCATTTTATAGTCTATCAAATTAATTTATTGCTGCAGTTCAGACTTCAGTAGTTGTTCAAAAGTCATTTTCAGTAGAGTATGGGTACAAATAAGAAATGTTAATTATTTTTCCCCTGACAATCCTGAATTTGAGATGACGTCATCGTTTGCCTTTAAAGATGACTTGCAAGGAATGTAGAACCCAGGACATTAACTTTATTAAATAGTATTGCGCAAATGGAAACTCTGACAGCCCACTATGACCCAAATATGCAAAGACACATTCTGTATTTCTGTTTTTAAACAATCCAGCCCTGTTGTGGCAAAAAATATTGTCCCATGAAGACTACTTTTTAGCAGAACCCCTTGGGAATCTGGGTGTTGAGAGTTCTGAAAGAATAAATTGCAATACAGACACCATTTGACATCAGCTAAATTTCTGGCAGCATTGCTCAATAAGGTGAAGAGATTACACAAGGCTCTCTGCTGAAGGATGCACACTGCTAAAGGGTGACTACGTGCATGTGTTTAGATGTGAGGTAATCACTACTTCTCAAAGTAGAAAGTTCCACCATCGGACAACCAATCATTATCTCTAACCCGGTTCTTATGAAATTGCTCTGTAATTATCTGTGTCTAATTTCTTTAAAAAAAATTATGTATGTGCACAGTTTATGGAATAATAATTTATCTCTAAGAATATATAGTATATATGCCACTTTTTAGAAACAGTCCTACCTTTTAAGGAACCGTTGGTAGTGGGGGTCTAGATAAGGATCAACAAATTTCCAGGGAAGACTAGATGGTAAATATGTTAGGTTTTGCAGGGCATACATTCTCTATCTCAGATAATCAGCTCTGCCCTTGCAGCACAAAGCAATTCATAGACAACCAGTAGACATAGTAGTCTATGAATTAGTGGCTGTGTTCCAAAACCACTTAAAAAACAGGCCTAGAATCTGATTGGAACCCCAGGGTCTACATGTCTACTTGAGGCATTTTCTTCTAAATGATTTTTTTCATTAAATGGTCAGTTGGAGAAAAATTACAGGAGCATATATTTCATTCATTCTACAAACGTCAATTGAGCATGACCAATGTCCAAGTACTATGTTGAGAATACAAGACAAATAAGACTCAGTCCCTGTCCTCAGAAAACCTAGAGGCTAGTTGGATGGGGAGTGGGAGAAGTGTGGGAGATAGCAGTGACAAGCTGGTAAATGTTTAATGACCAAGTCTCCAGAAAACAAGCTTTGATTTATAGTGTTTGCCAGTTTCCTTGATGTAAATATTTGCAAAATAGCCAATCTCAAGCTACCAATTTGAGGTCAACTTGCTCACAAGTTTCCTGAAATTTTACCAGTCAGTTCTCACAAGCCAATATGAGCCAGATATCCAAACTTCAAGTACAATGATAAAAGGTTATTGTTCACATGGTAGAAGAATTCTTCCTTGACAAAATGAGGCAATTAATTCAACCAACATGAATTTATTGAGCACATTTTAATGCTGTGTCCAAGAACTTACATAACTTCAACACAAGGTAGTACACATGTCATGTCAAATAAGTGGTATAAATAACATGCATTCATCATGTTACTCCCCTATTCAAAATCCATCAGAAGTTCCGTGCTGCCTGGAAAATAAAGCCCAAGCTTCTTAACTAGGAATCCAAGGCCTTCTACTAACTCCTAGTCTGGCTTTCAAGTTTCATTCCCATTAACCTATAGATAGACTCCACTGCGGTCATACATATTTATCACCATCTGTAGAAGCACTTGTACATTATATTCTCCTCACCTCTGGTCATTCCTTCAAGTCATCACATCCCCTCCCCCCACATTGTGCCCATTGTTGCTTCCTCCTCTCTAACACCTACCTTGAACAGCCACACCTATGGAATCAATTTTTTTCTCTGATCCTCCATCATAATTATTAGAACAATTTACTTAACAATTCATCACTTGTAACATAGCTTCTATTATCTAAAACTATTCTTCTGCCACCAGTCTAGCTCACATCCTTATTAACTGTGGCCTAGATAACAGCAATAACGTCCTACAGAGGTTCTTCTGCCTCGGGGTAATGTCTCCATCCTCAAAACTGTCTCCTCTTGGTGCCATCTTATCCTTCTATAACTAAGCTTTGGTTATGACGCCTAGAAAATTTTCATGAGCTCTCATCAAAGAACAACACTGTGGGTTATCTGAGTTGTTCTATAATCTATCAAGAACTGTGAACAGTCTGAGATTTTTTCCCTGTTACAAACTAACAGTTTTGTAAATGCTGGCAGAAGATACAAGACTCCTAGGTCAGAAACAAAGTACTTTGTTACTAACAGCAATAGCAGTAGGCAGTGTATCAGCATTTTCTTGCACCAGTTCCCCAAGCCCTAACTTGCGCAGAATGATGCAGAGAGGGCCAATGACACCTGTGCATGCAGTGGGTTGGAACCCCAAGCAGGGGGAACTTGGATCTTTTAAGTGGGCAGTAAACCTGCAACCCTTTCCTCTGTGGGGAGATACGATATCCTCAAAGACTGTTCACTATACAAATATCCTTGAAAAAGGAGTCCAGAACAAAGGCAGTGTATTAGTTTTCTATTGCAGCTGTGACAAATAACCACAAATTCAGCGGCTTAAAACAACAGAGATTTATTATTTTACAATTCTGGTGGTCAGAAGTCCAAAGCAGATCTTTCTTTTTCTTTTTCTCCCCAGTTTTATTGAGATATAACTGACATATAACATTGTATAAATTTAAGGTGTACAACACAATTTGATATATGCATATATTGCAAAATGATACCACAATAAGATTAACATCCATCATCTCACAGTTACATTTTTTCTTTGTGATTCAAACTTTTAAGATATACTCCCTTAGTAACATTCAAATATTCAATATAATATTGTTAACTATAGTCATGATGCTGTATTACATCCCCAGAGCTTATTTATCTTATACCTGAAAGTTTGTACCTTTTTGTTTTCATTTTTTGTTGTTGTTTTGTTTAAATTCAAGTTAGTTAACATATTGTGTATTATTAATTTCAGGGTAGAATTTAGTGATTCATCAGTCGCATATAACACCCACTTCTCATTACATCAAGCGCCCTCCTTAATGCCCTTCACCCAATTACCCCATTCCCCACCCTCCCACCCCTGTCCCCTCCAAAATGGATCTTAAAGGGCATAAATCAGAGGCTGTGTTCCTTCTGGAGCCTCTAGAGGAGAATCTGTTCCTTGCCTTTTTCAGCCTGTAGAGATTGCCCACATTCCTTGGCTTGGGGCCAAGTCATTCCAATCTCTGCTTCCATTGTCAATCTCTGACCTTCCTGCCCGCCCTCCCCCCCCCTTATAAGGACCCTTGTGAGGACATGGGACCCTCCCAGATAACCCAGGATAATCTCCCTATCTCAGGACTCTTAATCACAGCTGCAGAATCCCTTTTGTATTTTAAGTGACAGAATCACAGGTTCTGTGGACTAGGATGTGGACCTCCTGGGAGAGCCATTATTCTGCCCACCCCATGCAGTCAGCGTCTATATTCCCAAGATGTGCAGAATTAGGAGAGACCCATGAAGAATTGTCTCCCAGGAATATCTACCCATTGTTTCTACACTCTGTTGGCTTCTGGCAAACTTTCCCATTAGTATGCCACTCTGTTCATCATTCTGATTAAACTGCCCATCAGAGGCTGGGGCAAAATCCATTCAATTTCTTTCATATAGCCTTTAATAAGGCTAATATCAACAGGATTCTAAGTAGCAGGATGAGCCCAACTGTTAGTATTAGTAATTGTACTCCTCAGGGGTTCAGACTCAATCAGCTGAACGAATCCCACAAACCAACGAGGTCTACTTTGGCAGCCTCCTAGGGATTTTTCTGTATTGACTTTTCCCCTTGGCCCAAGGTATTAATCTAGGTACAGCAGGATGCATTAGTAATTGCACATGCTTTGCCATGGCCCGCAAGGAGGAAATCTAGGGCAATTATATCAATGATAACAACCCTGAGCAGTGAGTTGAAACTTATTTGAATGCCTTCCAGGGCCAATGTGATACATTGATCTCTTCAGCTAAAGTCAGGACAAATTTTGTTTCACCCCTT